ATGGGATAACTTGATTTTGACGATCTGTAGAAATGCAAAAATTGGTTTGAAATGCTGTGATATTCTATTATCTTTAGTCAAACATTGACAACACCCAAGGATTAAAATTTTTTATATAATATTTTGTTATTGTAACCTTGCTTTCTTAGAGGCATTGGTAGTATTTCCTATTGTGCCAAGTAGCATTGATGAATTTATTAAAAAAAATGCTTATTTTTTGTTGGGTCAGGCTATGCTTACTCTCATGGGTGATGAAGATGAAGTTCCATGGAGATTACTGAAATTAGAATTTATGGTTGAAGACAGAGAAACGGGCAGTGGGCGAACTTTGGTGCATAATTTGCAAGTTAATTACATTCACGAATTGGTCCAGTCACGATTGATTGCAAATGAAGATCCTATTCAGGTATAATAGGTTTCCCTTCGGTTTCCTCAATTCTAAATATTTATTTGGTAAAATCATACTGAATTTATATAAATATTTGGCCAACTCTAATTAATTAAATGGTAGGCATTTTGTTATTAAGATTTTTTAACTTCTGATCAAGGTTGCCCGTTGTTGTCAAATTACTGTGACAATCCAATTGAAAGCAAGATGCGAATGTTCATATCAAGTTTGCTTCATTTTCTTTTCTGTCTCTAACTTAAATATGACATAGTTTATCTGAAACACTTTTCCTATTATCAGGATTTGTACAACGTTCTTCATTCGTTTTGCCTTTCTTTACAATTGGAAGTTCTACAAGCACAAACAGTTAGACTAATCCAGGAAAGATGGGGAAGACTTGTCCAAATTGATGAATATCTTCCTGGTGTAAAGGTCGTGCTATCATACTGGAGGTAAGGATGTCCGAGCAATTGATTTGAATTATTCATGATTTGGTATTCATAAGCATCCATGAGATGCCTTTTTTTAAATATAGTTATTGAAATAATATTAATTATTCTGACATGGACTAAATGCTACAGAATAGGAATACTCAGAAAAGTGAACTATCAGTATATTGGAATAACTATTTTTCATTATTGTTTCTACTTACTGTCGTATCTGGTATGGAAAATCTTAAGGCATATTACCAACTTTTCCCCCAATATGAATATTAAAAATTCTATCTACCTATGTGCTATGCAAGAGTTTGTTTTCTGATTATTACCATTTTGATTGAAAACTTCTTACATTCAGTAATGTAATAAAATTGAATGATTTAGTGTTTGCTTTTAATAATTTAGGTTGACTCCTTATAAATCAACTAAACAGGAGTTGATGACTGTAGCAGTTCATCAGCGAAAAACAGAAGATGGTGCATGGATTTTGGATGTGACTCATAAACCACCACTCATCCTACAAAATGTAAATCTTGTGGAAAAAGCATCAAAAATCAGAGATCTGTCATTTGAAAGATTACTCAGTGATACGATCAAAGTTCGCTCCTTTCATAAACTCTACGAATTGCAGCAAATGTTGCAGAAACATATTAAAAATGACTCAACAAAAATTTCAAAAGATCAATCTAGTTTGATTGTTCCTCTAATAAAACCTTGTCAGAGCAACGAAAATCTTTGCGTTTCTATAGATCCACAAACTGGCATTTATGTCCCAATGCTAATAGGTTTGGAACAACAACTACTTGACGAGATGGAGAAGGCTATAAATGAATCTCCAATGAATCTGCTTTCATGGATACCCAGGTTTAGAAATAAACTGGCAAGAGAAAGATGCAAATCATCTGTACAAAATTTACCAGCATACTGTGTGGATGAATTATCATTTGCAAACAATAGCACACATCCCATTGGGCAATTATCAAAAGATATTGTTTATATTAAACTAAAAAATTTCAGCAATTTTTACGTTGTTGTAGAGTTGATCCCAAATGAAGAAATAACCACTGAAGTTCTTTATCGATACCATCTCCTCACTGTATCAGGTGGTACGTCTCGTCCAGGAGATGTCGGTGATATGAAAGCAGACTCGCTTGTCCAACTTGAGACTTCACTTTGCTGTGACGAATTTGCAGATTTAAAAATATCAGATGAAGATGAATCCGGCGGCGTAGGATCACATTTCAATTCTGAGTTGGCGCAAGTTGTTTCGGTCAGTAATGCCAGGATCCCTTTCATAAGCTTGATCCATGATCTTGCAAAAGAAGGCATATTACATCAAGGGTTGATGGAGGATGGCATAGGTATTGGGTTGAGTGTGAAAATAATGTCTTTTCCTGAAATCCCAACTAATGTACTTCAGACTATTTTAAGTAAAAAACTGGTTGCCAGCCTCCTTGAATGCAGCTTCAAGCTCATTGATAAATCACCCAAAATGTCAGAATTATCAGGTACTAAGATTTGGATTGCTGAACTCGTTTTCACTGATCGGCCATTGAAAACAGAATCTCAACATGGCTTTCTCACTCGGGTTATGCTGAGTTTTGATTTCTCTTCAAATGACTCTCCTGTCAAGCTTTTCAATGATGAATGGACTTCAATTTTAAAGTTATATGAACCAGTGGCTCGTTTTTCAACAGCTTTAAAAGATGAGGGTAGTGTTCTTCACCACATTGTAACTGTTCATTCTTATAATTATCGCAGTTTAGTACTCAAATACGGAAAATCCAAGCATCAACTTGTTACTATCAAATGGTCAATCCAAAATGACAAGTTTGTTTTACTATTTGGAAGGTGTAGTTCTACAGGATCAAACAGTCATACCATTGCCTCTCACTATTTGGTGAATCAATTCAATTCTAATCCAGACATTGGAAAGTTGGTGCAAATTTTACATGACACATCACAGCCATTGCAAGCAATATGCTCTCTTTCTAGTATCCCCTTAATTGGAATGGCATCAAATCAACCCGGTGGAATGCAACAGAATCCGAAGAGTGTATCACAGAGCTTCTCAGTTATTATTCAGTCTCCATCACACATAAGACTGATTTACCGATCAACCTATGCGTTAGATATCTACTCTCTGCCTGACAAAAAGGTCGCAATTAGGGATGGATCGCTTTCTATGTTTGATTCCAGCAAAGTAAAAGAGGGAATGTATCCAATTGTTGGTTTAAAATCATTTTTATTTTTGTTTGAGAGTCCAGGATCTCGTAAGCGGTCCGTGAAAGAGAAGGACGATCCTCCTGCACCAGATATCCAAAGTTCGAGTGCAAATTCTGGAGAAATGCGTACAATCACGCGAGGTATGTGGGCAGGTAGTAATCCTGTCATTTTGGATCAAGATGTTTTCACAGGACTATTAAGTTCACAAACAACTACAAGTTCCTATACTACAAATATTCTAGAGCAGTTTCTTGGTCATACGCTAATACGAAGAGAGTTGGAACATATAATACGATCTACTCCACCAGATTCACCATATTATACACCTTCTCCAAGTCTTGTTCCAAATCCATCTGTGAATGAACCTCTCTGCACATTTTTTGCTGCGAATTCTCTTATGTTCCGTTGCACAATGCAGTTTCCTGGAAACCGTCCGCACTTGAATCTTGCTGTTCAGCAAGTTCCACCCTTAGTCATGCAAGAACATGGAATTCCTCATGAAAACTGGCAAAATGATGATCTTCTTATTTTAGAACGCTTTTTTAAAATGAGGGTTGCTACTCAGCCATTCCGTCCAAGTAACATACATGCATTCTGCAGTATTATATCATCCAAGTCGCTTATTCTGCGAGATTTCATCAATGTGATGCGTCTGGAACTGACACCACACCAAAATGATCCAACAGTGAAATGGATTCCACAAATATGCCTGACTGTGCCTCCTTGGTTGAGTTATGCTCCAGCTGGACTTCCCGCTGTTTATATCAAGGACAAGATACTGATATTTGTCTTGATGACAATGAAGAATTTCAACCCTGCAAATCCACCCATGAACAGGTTAGAAAATTGTTTCTTGAAATATTCACTCAAATGCAGTGATAGGGCCAAACAGGTGCCAGAAGTTTTAGTGGCTCCAGCTCCTAACCACCTTATTATTTTTTAACATTTATAATTTTCAAATACTTTATACAAATAATAAAATCTGTTCTTTTCAGCTCAGAAATTTCAATTTAAATATTCATCTAAATGTTTCAATGTAAATTTAAATTTTGAAACCCTTTTATCAGTTTTTTGTCCCGCTCTCACTAATCCACATTTGGGTAGATATTTCATGGTAGTGATCACACTTAAACACCTCTATCGGTGTGGAACTGGGCCTCCAGCTCCGAAGTAAAAAAATGAAGCTCTGGAATCAGCTGAATATACTGCGACTCCGAAGCTGGAGTCAAGAGCCACTGATTTTGAAACAGCTCCCCATCCCTAAGGCTAAACATGTGCAGACTACAATCTTTCTCACCAGTATTGATGTTCTGTAGCTGTCTGGTAAATACATTGTCATACGAGTAAATTCAAGCCCAACAGTCCTGCTCATAATTATTCCCTTCACATTATATTTTTCCATGGTGATTGGTGATGTTTATTATTTGATGTTGAAACAAGGTGACATCGCATTTCATGGAGCATCTGTATGGAACATTCATGTCAACTAACAGTGCCAAACATGATAAATAGCAAATCGATGTTAAATTTGTTTGTAGATAACGCATAGCGCAGCCCCCTGACCATGCTGGCTGAATGTAGATGTACAATATGTTTTACATTTTTATAAATCATGTTTAGTTTGTTACAGTGCGTCATACTGCATAGATTTTCATGCCCACTGCCGCACCTTATTAATATATTGTTCAATCTGAATTTACAGGCAAGCACATGTGATGCCTATTGTTTGGTATCTACAAACTAACATTGCAACATTGCCAGCTCAAAACAACCCGCTCTTACAGCGAATTGAAGCACATCTGAGGCAATACATGGAGGAGAGAAGACAAACAAACACAGAGTGTCATATGTTCAGTGCCATTAAATACTTGATGGACAACTTCTCACCGCCTTGAATAATTAATGATTATACTCAACTTTCCTACAATCATGCGAATATCAACCAAGAGGTTTTTGTCTTGTATAATATTTTCCATATTTCAATAAAATTTAAACAAAAAAACAAGTAAGAAGGAGTAAGATTGATAAAGGGGCAATGGGTGAAGTGAAACGATAGTGACTGATAATACAGTAAAATCATGGGGAGAAAAACGAGGACTCCAAGGAAACTCCAAGGAAATTATGTGTGCGAAGGTGTCTCGCAGTGGAAAAAAAAGTACAGTAAAATCACTAAGGAAATTATGAGTGCGAAGGTGCCTCGCAGTGGAAAAAAAGTACAGTAAAATCACGAAACGAAGAAGGGCTTAATGAGAACATAGTGGGAAGTCATGGTTGCACAGTATTCACTATAAATATAATTCAAGCACAAGAGCCCCCAACATTTATTCCCACAATGGATCGAAGCTTCTACTAAAATGAACAGCTGCGATCATCATCTACTGAGTAAAAAGCATCTTTCACCTTGTCATATTGAATTTGTTTCTCATCGATATTATAATATTGCAACAAAGCACCAATTGTGGGTTTAGGCGTTTGTTCTATATAATTGACGAGTTCTAGTATGATTTTCTGTGATGCACTTGTCCATTTTTGTGTCAGTTCATCCAGCTCTGCATTCTCTTTCGTTTTATACAGCCTAGCGAGTCTAAGTTTACGCAAAATCTCTCGTTTTTCTGTTATGCCTCGCCTCAATCTCTTTACTTGAGAAAATAGCAAGGTTTTATTTGTCAAGTGTTGGTCAGGTATTTCCTGGATGGTAATACGTTCTGGGGACTTCTGCTTTTTTATGGAGGATCTTTTCGATATAGTGTAGTCCTCATTACATTTTCCATCTTTTTCAGTACGCATTTGTGCTTCAGAGCTAGATGTGGAACTGTCTATAGCTGAACTAATCGATTCATTTAGATCACAGATTTCCATTTTATCTGGTACATTTGTGTTTCTATCGTCTCTTTCAGAAGGAATTTCCTCTGATCGAATTGACTCATTTAGATTGTTGGATTCAAAACTTTGTGTGGAGTTGTTTACATCTGAAACAATTGATTCATTCAGATTATTGAGTTCCATCTTATCCTGTTCAAGTATATTTGAGTTTTTTTTGTCTTTCTCAACAAGAATTTTTTCTTTGTTAGATTCGTTCACAACATTCATCTCCTCATCTGGTTCTTGCTTGTTTGAGTTTTCATCCTTCCTTTCAAATAGAATTTGCTCAAATATGCTTGAATTATTTGAAATCCTATTTTCCAGCTCATCTTGTTCTTGGACATTTGTGGTTTTATCCTGTGTTTTGAATGGAATTTGTGTTATGCTATTGGTTAGGATGTCATCTATAATCATATTAGGTATCATATCATTATCTGTAGATTTGTGTGTTATCTTCTCCAACAATTCATCAAGAACTAAGGTAACAGCAGTTTCAACATCTTTCTGGTTGGAAACATGTTTATATTGTACCATATCTGCTTGATTTTCTGCTAAGCAAACACTGTTCTGATGCAGTGCATTTTCATTCTTCATTTCATGTATATTGCACCTTGTCTGGTAATTTGATGTGGCATTAAGCTCTGATTTGTCTTGACAAGACGACGCATCAGATGACACCACTTTCGGATGATGTGATATCATACTGTCATCTGCAAACTTTTGCTGATTTACTAGCTCCATTATTCAAGACAAAGATCTGTAAATGAAAAAAAATACGAGATTGTATCAATTGGGGTGAAAAGTTGAGGGTTTGGAATTTACAGGTGCATGTAATCTGAACTTTTTGTCTTTACCAACTTCAAATATTTCAGTTTGTGAATTTATGTTTCTCGCTGGCGACTGGAGTTCGGTGCATTGTGATCATACAGTCATAATACGGTAGTAGACAAGTGTTAGAAACATGCTGCTGATTGTAGCCTACTGGTACACATTCACAAGTCAAGTGGAAATCCTGTAGACTATACAGCTATAAGATCTCAATATGGAGTGGGTGAGGATTGCATGACTTCTGATATCTGTCATTCTGTGTTTCACAGATTTCATGTAAGCACTAGTCAGAGTCTGCTAGTTGGCTACAGACTCTATGTAATTAAAAGGAACCAATTTATTGAACAATTAACTAGTCTATTTCAGTTTTTGACTGTTCTAGGATTATCATATCGAACACACACAGACAAGTAAACGGGCAATAGGTAGTACTATGTTCCCCTGAAAATAATACAGGGCTTTATTTAAATTTTCTCTTGAAAAATAATTTGAAGGATGTCTTTTATTTTCATTTATTCAAAAACAAAATTACAAAGTAGAATATACAAAATTTAAAACCGATATCCATTCACTTATAAATAACAATTTTTTATTCAAAAAACAAACAAACTCGGTCTTATAGTCTATTACAATCATTTTTAAAATTCAGGCCAGGTCTTATTTTCTGGAAAAACATTAGGACAATATGTCTTCATATACAATACTAACTCCCATATGTGGGATAAAAGAGATCTTTGCGCTCGTCAAAAATTTCTAACGTTGATAAAAACACAATCCAGCATCTACGTGGGCAAGCGTGTTCAGAAAATGAATGTTATTCCCGCTGAAATAAAATTAGCAGTTGTTCCGCGTGGCTGATTTTTGCTACAGCAACATGTTGCTAGGTAACGAGAAACGTATTTGTACTTCAGGGGAATCCCCATTTCAGAAGGCCACCCTTTTATCAGTTATTAGGCAAACGTTTGAGTTTGACCAGTACGGTACCAATTATATACCCTTTATATTAATGGGTGATATTAATATATACAGTATATGCATTATTGATACTTTAAGTTAGAGTGCAATCAGTTCTTTATTGGTAAATATATTTTGGTAAAATGTCACAAAGCCAGGCGGCTATTTCCAAGATACAAACAATTCTTTCTGTTTGGGATCAAGGATCGCCTTCTTCCAGAAATGAAATTCTTCTAAATTTTTTAAACAATAACAAGGTGAGGATATTTTACAATATATATCATGTTTACCTATAACTAGAGAATATATATAATTGATATTGGTTTCAGTACTTTAGTATAGCTTGAGTTTTTCTGATCCGCTCCCTCAAAGGCCTGCTTAATCAAAGAAATGTTGCTTTCATACTGTTAAATGGTATGTTACAAAAAAGGTCATACATGTAAATGTTATGCTTTACATTTTATCAATATTCTAGTAGCAATTCAGGATGTCCGTATCAAATAATGTCAATTTGAAATTGAACTATTGTAGGCCTAGTTACTTTCATTCAAAAATAAATTGAATTTAGGGATTAGCTTCAAATTTGCCACCATATATATTCATATCAATTATATTTTTTGTTTCTGTCTTAACGTTAATGAAAGCTGACTTAATAAGTTCAATTTGCTTCATGTACCACCCAGCGGCCATTAGGATGAAATTAAGATATGTCTTGAGTGAGAAAAGGGTTAATTTCTCATATCCTCTTGTTTTGATAGCAGACGAAGTTGGATATGGATTTGGTTAGCCCAATTTATTCCAATACTGGACTATTTAACTCATGAAGAATTGATCCCATTAGGTGTTTACTATTTGTTTTAGGGTAAAACAGCTCCAGAACTGGATCAAGAATATGGGTTAGCTGCAAGTTTGTTTTTATCCAGAATATCTGCATGGTTACGACTCACTTATTTAGTTGGTACTTGTGTTGGAACTCAGTTGAAAGCATTGAATATTTTTGTCTCAGCTACTAGTGGGTAAGAACGCCAATTTTAAGTCAATGATTAATGTTAAATATAACTAAATATTTTGCTACAATCAAAACAATTTACAGTATGGGAACAGTTCTCCAATTACAAGATGTCCTGACATTTGGTTCAATAAAACAACACTTTATTTGTATCTGTAACGAGGGCATCTGGCACGAAGGCAGATAGGTTAGATCGTGCCATACTTGTCTCGATAATAATCTAAATTAATCGCAGCCGTCACATGACCATAATTGTGTTTTTCTCTAAAAATGCTTGAATGCTCTCGGTAACGGTTCATTGGATTTCAATATTCACATTCTGACATTTTCACTTTTATTTTTAGGCATGAATTCATGGAAGAATTTATTGAAGTTGGTGGAATTTTAACATTACTTGAAATAATTAGTCTGAAACAATCAAAGGAAACTGATAAAGGCGAAGCATTAAAGTTACTTGCAGTTATCGCAGGATCTGGACGCCATCACAAAGAAATCATCTGTGAAAGTTTTGGTAATTTTTTTTTTTGTAATGGATTTCACCATACAATACTAGGCTGGATGAAGTGTGTCTAACCATCAGCAAAATTCAGTCTATTAAGAAAGCATTCGGGACTTGCAGGTTCAGTTGGTAATGTCTCGATTATATGCTGCCAGGCAATCTGGTTGCCAAACTGTGACTAAGACCAAATCACACATTGTTTGAAACCAGGTCGAATCAAATATCAAAGTATTCGAATACTTTTCCAGCTAATTTTAAAAAAATTTCGAATAGAATCCTCTTTTTTTCGTCATCGTGGTGTTTCCTTTTTGGCAAAAATCTTCATGCGATGTGTTGTTATGTCGATGAGATGGAATCCGCACTTTATTGTTTGTTAACTTCTTTGCGAGCGCACAGCGCTTATTGTTACAACATTCTTGCAGGGTTGCGTGCTGGACATTGCTGCCATTTCCTTGCAAGGCGTTGTAAAATTTAGGAATTATTGTAAAGCCATAATTAATACCCAAATGTCATAACATCAATCGATTTTTCTGCCACTGAATATATGTTTACCTATTACTGTTTACCTATTTTGCATTCCAATATTATTTTTAAATTTTGTGTATAGAATATGTCGAGTCTGACTTATCAGCCCATGTCCATCAGCTACTTGAATCACTCCGCTCTGATGTAAGGATTGAGGAATCTTGTCATGATTATGTTGCCACGATTAAAAAAATTGAATGTTTTATTGAATTTTTTTTTTGTAGGTATAAGGGCAATTGCTGAATGTTTAGCAAGAGCAAAATCAGAAGATACTCAAGATAATGCTCGAATTCTATTACAGGTCAGTATTGAATCAACATATATTGCTTTATTTAAGCAATATTTTGAATAATGTTTAATAAGGACCAGCACTGTGTTTTCAGTCGACACAGATTTGAACTTGGGTTTCGTGGAAATATTGTCTCATTTTTTTTGCTTTTTAAATACCTTATGGTTGATTTGTTTTTTAGCTACTGGCTCAAGGAAATCCAAAGTATGAGGTTCAAGTTTATAAAGGATTAATTGCTCTTCTTCCGTCAACCTCACCGAAAGCACAGCAAATGGCATTGCAAACGTTGCGGTAATGTGAAAAATGAAATTATCCTCAGATTTTCTAAAATTGTATTGTAAATTTAAAACTAATGATTTCTCATTTCAGAATTGTTCAGGTGATCGTAAAATCAGCGAATCCAAGTTTAGTTGAACCACTCATTAATTTATTATCAACTGTTCATCTTGAGGTTCAGTATGAAGGTGGGGTAACTTTTTTTACCATTATTTTTATAGGAATTACATTTGTTTTTGCTGTTATAAGATATCATAGCAATAAAGAGAACAACAATTGGGTTAATTATTCTCATTTTAGTTCATTTTGTTTTGGCATATATGTAGTTGTCATTCAATAATAGACAATTCAATGATAAATATTTGTAAATTAAATAAAACATGGGCCAAGACATTAGACCAATGGCATGGAATCAATTTAGATGATGTGTTTCATAGAAATGCATCAATTACATACCAAAAGTGGAGCAACTGAATTTCAGGGTTCTCAAGCAATGAGAAGCTGATAAAAATGTGAATATAAACCAATATCATGACCCAGTATTAGTATTCATTTTCAAACCAATAACGATGATATTCCCTTACCTAAACATTTTAAGATCACTGTTTTAAAAGGGAAACGTTGTTACAAGAGACTTGTTACTAAGTAGCACTTGATTAATATAAGAAAATATATCCTATAATTTGATAGTTAGGGTGCAATTTCCTTATGAAAAGCGTGAAATGCTAATAATATAGTTGTAGTAGAAATTTTTTATTTATCATTTTTATTCAGCAATTGAATTTATTCGAGAACTGATGAATTACGAAGTACAAGATCAATTGCTGGAAAGTTTAGTACGATCATTACGTCCTACAAGAGAGGAAATTATAGCAAAGAACAAGCAATTAGCAGGTTAATGTTTCTTTATTTAGCCCATATTATGGATATTATAACAGACTTTATGTATCTGAATTTTATTCTGTTGTTATAACCAAAGATACTTTATGCCATATCACTAGATAAAAAATTTGTTCCCATATATAGAATGTACAGATCCTAATCTGTTAATGAAATCTATGTTGAAAGTCTTTCCCAAGAAATCCCTATTTTTTGAACTTCATTTTGTGATGAATCATCTCAAGTCTTGAAGACCTTTTAATAGCTTTTACTATGTCATGGGCTGCTTGCGAATTTTTTTGTTCAGGTCTTGTTTTGATCTACAGTTTATGTAGCAAAAAAATTGCACATATACCAATCTTTTCCATGTGCATGTGTTTAATTGGTTTTCACATCAGTTGTATAAAGATAACTTTTCAGAACAAAGGAAATTTAGATATTAGTATTAGGTAAAATGCTGAATTATAAAATTGTAAAAAATTCTCACAGATGCTCTGTCTGATGCACCAGACTTCAAAGCACCCTTGCCTGCTTTCGTAAAGCAAGCATCCTCAGCAAAGACTATTGGTATATTATGTCGTGATTCATCAGATCTTGCGGAAAAACTGCTTCGGT